TTGTTTCAAATCACTGATTCTCAGTTTCACCCACTCCATTATTGTTTCCCTGTAAATTGTTCTTTTTGTCACTTAGTGTATCCTTTGTTTCTGAATAGATCTTTTTTATGCTGCTGAGGTCCTCACTGACTTCCTTAGCATCCTTATAACTAGTATTTTGAACTCTGCATCTGATAGATTGCTTGTCTCCATTTTCTTTAATTCTTTTTTTGGAGTTTTGATCTGTTGTTTCATTTGGGGCATGCTTTTTTGTCAACTCATTTTGGCTGCCTCCCTGTGTTTGTTTCTATATATTAGGTAGAGCTGTTTTGACTCTGTGTCTTGGTAGTGTTGCCTAATGTAGTAGGTGTCCTGTAGGGTCCAGTCACTGGAATAGCCTCCCCTATCACCCAAGCTGGGTAGTTGAGGTTCTCCCCTCATGTGGGCTGAGTACACCATCCTGTGTAGTTGAGTCTTGGTTGTTGTTGGCAGATCAGTGAGAGGGATTTATCCAGGCCAGTCAGGTGCAAGTATTGCCTGTGACCACTGACCACAAATCTCCAGCCTCCATGGAGGACCAGCTGTGCAGGGGCTGGGTGGTGGTGTTCCCACATGATCTGTAGCTGGCCTTGGGGTTTCCCAGGTGGTACAGGCCAAAGTCAGCCCCCACCTGGGTTTTGCCCGGGGATACTTCAACAGAACCATAAAGCAATCTGAGATGGCTGCTGCTTGTGCTGGGGTAGGATATTCCCAGGTGAAGCCAAGCTGTGAATATAGGCTGGCTACTGCTAGTGCCACACCTGGGACTTACTGTTGCCAGCTGTTGCTTGTTTGAGACGATTTAGGAGGTTGTGAAGCATGAGCCCAAACCAGTCATTCATTTGGAAAAGCAGCTTGGGTGGGCCAGTAAGTTGGATGGGGCGGAGTCTCTGGGGATTTCCAGGGTGGGTCAAACAGTGTTAGCCAGGTTGATGGAGTCTCACATGTCACACACACTAGCTTGCCGGCTCTGTGGTCCTGTGGGGGGAGGATTTAGAAAATGGACAATGACCTCTTGATGCCAGATGCTTCAGCCACTGGTACCTTTCAAGCTTCTACCGTGGTGCTAGACCTCAGAGGCAGTAAGTCTGAGTATGTGAGTCCATGGGTGGGTTCTTTAAGAAGAACTGTTTGGGGCTCTAGCAGTTTCTTCCACCAACTCAGTCTATTCTCATTTTTGCAGCCAGAAGTTGTGGGAACTTCTCCTCCTGGCCCTGGAACCCTGGGCTGAGGGGCCTGGTGTGGAGCTGGGACTCTTTGTTTTCGGGATATCCCTCTCAAATTTTTATCTACCATACATGGGTGTGGGACCAGCCCATCCACATCTGCACCTCTCCTACCAGTCTATATGGATGTGGTTTAATTCTGTAATTGTCAGACTTCTATTCAACTCGATTTCTGATGGTTCCAAATGATGGTTTTTCTATATATTAGTTGTAATTTTTACATGGTGGAGTTAAAAAGCAAGCCATGCCTGCCTACACTACCATGTTTACCAGAAGTTCTGAGTTCCTTTTATATTTTAGAAACCAGTCCTTAATATATTGGGTATATATTTGAGAAATATTTCCTTCTGGTCTGTGGCTTGTCTTTTCATTCTCTTAATGTTGTTTTTCACAGAGCAGACATTTTTATTTTAATACAATCCAACTTGTCATTTTTTTTTCTTTCATGGGTTGTATCTTTTTGTGTTGTATCTAAAAACTTATTGCAAAACCCATGGTCACCTGGGTTTTTTCCTTTGATATCTTGTAGTTTTGCATACATTTAGGTCTTTGACCTTAGTTAATTTTTGTGAAAGGTATATAGGGTCTTTTTTTTTTTTTGCATATGAATGTTCAGTTGTTCTAGTACTTGTAGAAAAGATTGTCCTCTCTCTTTTGAACTGTCTTTGCTCTTCATCAAGGATCAGTTTGCTCTGTGTGAGGGGGTATATTTCTGGACACTATTGTAGTTTATTGATCTGTCTATTCTTTAGTCAATGCTACACTGTCTTGATTATCATGACTTTATATAGTAAGTCTGAAAGTCAGATAGAGTTAGTATTCTGGCTTTATTCTTCAATATTGTGTTGATTATTCTGGGCCTTTTGACTGTTCATATAAACTTTAAAGTCACTTTGTTGATATCCATAAAATAACTTATTGGGATTTTGATTTGAGGTTGTGTTGAATCAAGGCTTTAAGAAATATTAACATGAATGTAAAAATATACACATTTAATTTTAAGTATACAATTTTTATTTTTGGTGAGAAAAGAAACACTAAAGGTTTTATGAATTCAAATTGTGAATGAATGTGTAAAATGTGTATTCAATAAATGTATATTCAGTAAATAAATAAAGAAAAAGACCTTTCTTTTTCTCTTGAAAAATTTCTCTCTCATACACACACACACACACACACACACACACACACACACGCACACACACATCTCCACTTCCCAGTGTAATCTGTGAATCATGAATCTTAAGCACAAAATCACACCAAGCTTCTTGGTAATCAAGAAGCTTGAGTAGAAGTGGAGAAGTACGTAGGTATAATCACATAACTCTAGGAGATTCCTTGGAAATTATAAGTAATTATGCAGCAATGTCATTATTAGATGTTTGTGTTGAATATCAGGTGCTGATACTCTATATGGATTACATTTTAATGGGTTAAAAAAAGGCTGATATCTTAGAGATTTCTTTCTGTGGTTATTCAGATTTTTTGTTTTCTTACTGGATTTTATTGGCTGTACTCATAGAATAGTGTTAAATAGTATTGGTGATTGTGGGCATTTCTTTCTCATGCTTCTCTAACCACTGAACTCATGTTTGCCTTCACTTATACATACATTGGTTAAGTTCCTCATATCTACTATCCCCCCTGGCCTGTAATTGTCCACATAGACCTCAAAGGCACATTGGTGGCCTTTGCTAACATACTGCTGACTTTCCAGTGTATTCTGCAAAGCAGCTTGTGGTGTCCTGTTGCTTTCACCATACAATTTCTCTACTAGAAACCCATGATTGTTAAAATTTGTATAAAAATACAAATTCTGATTGAGAGAAAAATACACAGTTTGTCTTCATGGAGTTTCTAATTTGGCATGGTGACAAACGAACACAATACACTCTGACAATATACAGTAGAGGGCTGTATAAGGACACTTATGGAAGTACCAGGCCCTGTTTTAAGGGATTAAGGAACTTTTCCTTTAGGAAATGCCAACTAATTTAAGATGAAGAGAAGTTAATCATTCTTCAGATCGAGTGCAGTGGAGGACAGGATGAGTGGACTGGCCAGAAGTCCAGAGAGGTTGAAGACATGGTTTTGGAGATGAGGGAGATTATACCAGGCTTTGGCAATCTCACGTAATTTGCTGTGGATTAAGATGCCAGTCTAAGTAAGGCAGATGTTTTAAGGGATAAAGTTGAAGAATAAATTGGATTCAGGACTCTCTCTGGCCTCCTAAGCCATATTTAAGAGTCTCCTTGTCCCTGAAAAATCATGCTTACAGTTTTTCATAACTTTTCTTTTTCTAGAAAGCCTTGGCATTTCATTTCAGTCACTCAAACCTCATACTTTATAGTTCATCCCAAAGTTCTTTCCTACCCAAGAAAGTCTCCCAAAGTATGTCAGCTTTTTTCTCTGAAAACATGACTCATTATCTCTGCTATTTATTTGCCAGGTGGTTCTATATTTTTGTCTTACTAATTTGTTAACTTTTTATTACTATATATTTTTCATCACTCTGTATAGATTGTCGGTTATGGATGGTAAATGACTACTAATTCATAGATCAGTATTTGAAATTTAATAATGCAACCATATTTTGAAGCAATAAAAAATAAAGCAGAATTATGTGAATGAATTAAGGTCTTACCTTTGGATTGACAATTTAAAAGATCTTAAAAATCTTTAGTGGGAATTAAAAGAAAAATTAGATGTGGAGTAGTTTCAGAGAATTAGTTTCAGACAAAAATAATACTGTGAAAACATCTTATGTTGAATATTTGAAATTTAGAGATTTGGGAATATTTGTTTAAATCTACAAAATTAGTAGAAATACAGTATGGCTAATTTTTTAGTATGTTGAAATTTAATGTATTATTTCTTTTGCAGATTTAATGCATCATGGATTTAATAGTGATAAAATGTAGCCATGATACTGGAGAGATTATTTTTTCAGCATGTTCTTGTCTTAAGAACCATGTGTCTTAAGAATTATGTGTAATATAAATGCAGTACTTTTTAAATTGCTGTAGTTATAACTTCTGGCTCAAGCATTGTTTTCCATGTCTGTGAACCACATTATCCCTAGTGTTGAATGTTCAAACAAAAAAGTTCTAAGTTATTCAGAATTTATGTTGTATGAAACTAAGGGAGCCTTAAACTCTTTTAGAGTAGATTTTTTAAAAATTTAGTTTCAGATTAGGAAACAAAATTTATAAAACCTTGTTTAATCTTTATTGGAAAAGATGATTTATCAACAATGTAAAAACAAAAGAAGAATAAGTTCATCTGCTGGAATTCCTTTCAAGGAATAGGAATAGGAATCTGGCAGTATGTCAAAGCTGAGTATTAACATAAATAGTATATTTAAGGGTCCTAAAAACAATGTGATGTTTAAGAGGCCAATTAAGTCAAAAGATGAAAAGCAGACAAACAGTGCAGGAAAAAAGAAAAATAAGTATTTTTTTCCAGACAAGGCCTTTCCCCAGAGTTTTTTGTTTCTATTCAAGTTCATAAGGAATAAGGTTTATGTATAAAATACACAAAAGGGAGTACAGGAGATAATTCTACTAGTGACAACTAGAACTGATTGTACTGATTATCTAGTTGGAAACAAATTTGGTGTCCAAGGTGAGTAAAAGTCAGTTTTTGTGATAATGGTAAATGAATTGCAGTAATCATTGCAATAATTTCATTACCTTATTTCTTGCTGAAATTGTGTTGTATATCTTTTACTTCCAAATTCTTCTCCTGCCCTTCCAGAGGCTCTCCCTACAGAGAATCTCCTTTGGGTCATTTTGAAAGCTATGGAGGGACCCCCTTTTTCCAGGCTCAGAAGATGTTTGTAGATGTACCTGAAAATACAGTGATACTGGATGAGATGACCCTCCGGCACATGGTCCAGGATTGTACTGCTGTAAAAACTCAGTTGCTCAAACTGAAACGTCTGCTGCATCAGGTGAGTACATAATAAACATTTTCAGCTATGATATTATGAGTTTCAAGATGGATTGACATTACTTTAAAAATTTTATTGGGTTTCAATGTCTATTTTGATTTCTGTAAAACTAATGCTTGTAAATAATACATAATAGAAATTTTTATGAGAGGAAAAAAACATGGGATTTTGATTCATGGTCTCAATATAGTCCCCAACATTTATGAGCTGTGTAATATTGGGTAAGCCAATCTCTCTGCTTATGTTTCTTCACTTTTATAGTACCTACATTTTAAATTTATTGTAGTCATAAATTGAGGGATTGAATACCTGAAACATAGTAGGCATTCAGTGATCAGTGATGGCTACTGTAAATACTGTAAACAGCAGTTTTTACTTACATAACCATATAATTAATTGCACTTTTCTTTGAAACCTTCAAGTTTAATCTTTCTCAGTCTTGTTTTTTTTATTTGATAAAATCTAGACTCATGGCAGTGATGTGACTTGTTAAAAGACACAGGTTGTGCTGATGGTTGAATCTGGCTTCTGATTCTTTTTTTTTTAAACTTATGAAAAAGATTTATTTTTAAGTAGTTTTTATTGATTATGGTATTACAGTTTTCCCAATTTTCCCCCCAATCCACCCTCCACCCTGCCCCCTCAGCCCTCCAGCATTCCCTCCCCCGCACTTAGTTCATTTCCACAGGTTGTACATATAAGTTCTTTGAGTCCTCTGTTTCTTATACCATTTTTAATCTTTTTCCCCATCTATTTTATGCCTACCAGTTATGCTTCTTCTTCCTTGTATCTTTTTCCCCTTATTCCTCCCTTCCCCCTCTCCACTGAACTCCCTGTGTGTGATGTCCATTTCTCTGACTCTATTCCTGTTCTGGTTGTTTGCTTAGTTTTTGTTTTCATTGTTTTTTTTCCTTTTAGGTTCATTTGTTAGTAGTTGTGGGTTTGTTGTCATTTTATTCATATTTTTTATCTTCTTTTTCTTAGATAAGTCCCTTTAACTTTTCATATACTAAGGGCTTGGCAATGATGAACTCCTCTAACTTGACCTTATGTGGGAATCACTTTATCTGCCCTTCCATTCTAAATGATAGCTTTGCTGGATAGAGCAATCTTGGATGTAGATCCTTGCCTTTCATGACTTCAAATACTTATTTCCTACCCCTTCTTTCCTGCAAGGTTTCTTTTTAGAAATCAGCTGATATCCTTATGGGAACTCTTTTGTAGGTAACTGTCTTCTTTTCTCTTGCTGCTTTTAGGATTTTCTCTTTGTCTTTGATCTTGGGTAACTTAATGATGATGTACTTTGGTGTGTTCCTCTCTGGGTCCAATTTCTTTGGTACTGTCTGAGCTTCTTGGACTTCCTGGAAGTCTGTTTCCTTCACCAGATTGGGGAAGTTTTCCCTTATTATTTCTTCAAATAAGTTTTCAACTTTTTGCTGTTGTTCTCCTCCTGGCACCCATTGGAATATTAGAAAGTTTCAGGTTGTCCTGGAGGTTCCTAAACTTCTCCTCAGTTTTTTGAATTCTTCTTCATTTTGTTACGGTTGGATATTTATTTGTTCCTTTGTTCCAAATCATTGCTTTGAGACCTAGTTTCCTTCCTATCACTGTTGGCTCCCTGAATATTTTGCTTTATTTCATTTTGGGTATCTTTCATTTGTTTGTGTTTTTCTTTTTTTGACCAAGTTCAATGAATTTTGTGAGCATTTTGATTACCAGGGCTTTAAATTTTCCATCAGATAGGTTGTCTATCTCCTCATCGCTTTGTTCTGATATTTTGCTGTGTTCTTTCATTTGGGCCATATTTCATTGTCTTGGCACACCTGATAAGTTGTAAGGTGGGGCCTTAGGTATTCACCAGGCAGGGTAACCCTCTTTGCTGCACTGCCTGTGGGGGAGGCTCCAGGGAGGGAACAATGCAGCTTGCCTGCTGGTCTCTAGCGCACTTTCCAAACAGACTCGTGTCAGACTAGAAGTATCTCCCACCTTGGCAACCCCTGCCATAGCCTACAGTCAGCTCTTGAGTCTCACTTTTCTTCTTAAGTCAGTCCTTCCTCTCAGCTGCCTTGCTGTGGTTTTTCTGAGCCGCCATGGTCTGCCTTACCAGTCTGGTTGTTCTGGTTGATTTTTTTCTTTAATTCCTTAGTTGTCGGAGTTCTATGCAGTTTGATTTTCTGGTACTTTTGGCCATTTATTGATTTTAGATTGGTTGTTATCCTCCTTTTGGTTGTGCGAGGAAGTGAAGGGTTGCTACCTATGCCTCCATCTTGGTGGGAACTCTGGCTTCTGATTCAATAGTACTGTTTTTGTTTGAACATATAACACAGACAAGGTCAGATGCATAACAGAAAACTAAAGGATAAAATGCTAATTTAAAAATGCTATTTTTTGTTTAGATTTAAATCTATATTCGTCTTTTGTAGACTAGCCAAATTTAGCTTTAATTGTTGAGAAAGAACATTCTGGCTTTTCTGTTCAACTTACTTTCTCATTTTCCTCAGGGTTGTATGTTCTAGCTAATCATGAGTAGGGACCAAGTTTTATAATTTATGGAGGTGATTAAAATCAAACTCATGATACATCTCAGAAATGAAATATGGCTCTCCTGTATCAGTGATGATGATTCATGTAAATATTCTGTTAAAGTCCTATAAATTGTTTTATATTACTTGGTTATAGTTTTTCTGGGCTGTTCTTCACCATTCTTTTTTTTTTTTTTTAAAGATTTTATTTATTTATCTTTAGAAGGGAAGGGAAGGAGAGAGGGAGAGAAACATCAATGTATGGTTGCCTTTCATATGTCCCCTGCTGGGAATTGGCCTGCAGGGAACTGGTCTGCAACCCAGGTATGTGCCCTGACTGGGAATCGAACCACCATTGTCTGGTTCGCAGGCTCGTGCTCAATCCACTGAGCTACACCAGCCAGGGCTTGTTCTTCACCATTCTTGCAGATACAACTTTTCTGTGCCAACACTGGGAGCAAGAAAGCAGAGGATCCTTTTTTGTTATATGATTCTTTGACTCTTGTCAAGGCAGAAAGAATTTCCTATTTGAAGTATATAGACATACAGCTTACAATTTAGTTTAAATGTAGTAAGAGGTGGACTGGTTTATAGTATTTCTCTGCTTACCCATCTAGGGAGGAGATTTTCTGATCAGGAGCTTCAGAGTCAAAGGGAAGAAGAGGTGGAAAGGGTGGGAAATAGGTAAAATATATTCAATATCTTCTTTGAGTCAGTCATTGGTCGAGCTATACCACATACCCCCTTTCGTACCTGGGTTTATTTTCCTGAAACACGAAGCATGATTAAATATCATAATAATAAGACCAGGCCACCTCTAGTAATGAGAAAAGTAGTATAATTCAGGAGAAAATAGATGTATAAGTACCATAAGAATAGAAAACTGTTTTTTTCCAGACACTTCTTAAAAAACTGAATCTCCTAATGCCTTTTTGTCATTATAGCCTCTGAAATTTATAGTATACTCTGATCAAATTGACTTTTTGTTTATGCAGTGCCAGCAAAATTATGAGAAGAAAGTTGTGAAATCTTTTTAGGGCTTCTTTAAAGTTTCCCAGAATGCTAATAAGATGTTACAAGCTGAATGAGTCCAAGATTTTATATAACTGCCTCTTAATTTTTTCCTTTTAATATTACTAAACTTTAAAAAGCTTATTGTGATACATATACATGGTTTAAAATTTTTCTTAATAAAAAAAATAGCATTCCTGTCCCTCTCTCCACTTCAGTCAACCTTTTAGCATCTGATCAGGTTACTGTCTCAAGATTCTTTAGAGCTGGCCTGCGCAGACTTTCTTTTGTTATCCTCTGGGATGGGGTCCTCTTATTTTCTGGATAGCATATCTTTTTCTTTTCTTGTGTTTACTACCTCATTTTTCTAGAGTATATCCTTAATTTACCCTAAGAGAGGTCAAATGGATGTTATTTTTTTTTCACTCACTGCATTACTGAAAATCTCTGTCATCTCTCATTTCATTGATATTAATAGTTTGCCTGGTATGGAACTGAGTTTTCTCTTAAATATGAATGTATTGCTTTTCTAGGATGCAGTTTGCCTACTGAGAAAAGTTTACTACATTCTGATCTATTTTACACTGTATTTTGTCTGTTTTTAATTTTTCTGGGAGATTTTTTTAATCTTTTATTTCTGGCATTTTAATCGTTTTCCTGGCATTCTGAAGTTCATAAGGAGGTGCTGGGATTTGAGTTTCATTGTACATGTTTGTTTTCCAGTTAATGTATGGGTACTTGTTGGACTCCTTTGAAGAATCATGTAGTGTGAAATTATGTCATTTCTATGGTTTCTTGTTTTGCCCTATTTTTCCCCCCCTGTATTTTTCTGGTATTCTTCATAGTCACAAACTGAATAACTGAATTGTTTCTCAGTCTTTTGTTTTTTCTTTCATATTTTCCATTTCTTTGCGCTTGATTACATTTTCTAGTATATTTGTTCAACTATATATTCCAGCTGTTTCTCTTGAATTATTTATTTTGGCAACAGTGTTCTCAATGTCCAAGAACTCTTTATTGTATACCATACTTATTTATATCATTCAATTCTTGTTCTGTCAGTAACTGCATTAAATAGAATGTTTTTATTATGTTTTGTTAAGGTTTCTCAGGTTCCCTGAATTATCTCTTTCTAAATTGTTATTTTGTTCATTATATTTATTTTGTTTTTGTTTCTCTTAGAATCTTTCTTCAAACATAAAAAATAATTCTTTGTTGCTTATTAATATTTACAAGTGAAGAACTAAAAAGTTCCTCTGTACAGGAGCTGGCTTATAATCTGGCTAGTTTTATTTTACAGTGATGGATGGATGTCAGTGGTTCCTTAGTATCCACACTAAGTGGGAGATTTTTCCTTCCGAGGTTATTGTAGTTTCTCCGGAGAAGAAACCTGATATTTTTGCTTAGAATACAGTTAGGAGACTGGGAATCTATTTTTGTCTTATGCAGACTTCCAATTAATTTCCA